TCAGTTGGAAACTTTCTTGGGCTCATCTGGCTATTCCTGCAATATAGTTTAAATTCTTGGAGCCGAGCTCCAGAACTAGATATGAAGGATAATGATGCTCTAATATTTGTAAGATTAGCATAGATATGTTCAATTCCTGCCTGAACTACTAAATTAATTATGTGACATGCACACCGTTGATGAAAAATTTCCCCTCCAAATGCCGGTTTCAAACTACGTTTAAACAGATTAATTGCAGCTGTATTAGCTGACGCATTATCAAAAGTAATTGTTAAAACTTTATCTTCTATCCCATAAAACCTAAAAATTTCCATTATTGTACTGAAAATAGCTGTTGCGCTATGAGGATATGGACATAAACGAAAACTAATTATTTTTTTTTGTAAAACCCAATCGTCATCAACGTAGTGCGCTGTGACACAAAAATATCCAGTTTTATTACACCCCTCCCACAGATCAGAAGTGCAAGACACAGTAGCATTAAAAGTCCTAAAATTATCAACAAGAGATTGTCTCATTGCATAAAAAACTTTCATGCAATCAGAACGAGTTGTGTTTCTACTTACCCATTTAAATTGTGGACAAAAAGCTGTCTGGATGAATTCTTCGAAGGAGGCATCATCTGCAAAAGAAAGAGGCAATTCGGCACAAGCTAAAAATTTAGCTAGTGCCTCACGAGCACGTTGTGCATCGTATGTAAAATTTTGTAACCCATGTGATGTGAGTGATAGTGTTTGTTGGCGGGAGTCCACACTCCCACCTTGGTGCAACGGTAGACATATTTTCCAATGTCTATCCAGATGACCAGTACCCCCACTGTTTTTATTAAAAAAGTGTTTTTTACAATTTTACATACCGCACAAATTTCCATCTCACCTGTTTTTAGATATGGTCGGGGCTCCTCGGTGAAATGCTGCCATGCCGGAGAAGTTCGCGGTCTTTTTCCTCTGCTGCGTTCTCTAGCTTCTTCGTTGTATACTGAAGCATTATCCACCGGAGCATTTTCTGCTTCAGTGGGGTGAGGGGGGGTTGGAAGGCATCATTTCTTCCTCAAAAAATGTCTCCTCACGAAGCTCAGGAAGAGCAGTAAAATCAGGACAATTTGGTGAGGACATTTTCTAGAAATTGATAGAACTTGATTGAACTTTGTAAATGAAAGAGCTAGAAAATGAATGAACACGAGAAAAAAGCTTAGAATCAAAATCAAAGAGAGAAGTTGAGAGATATAATGAGAGTGAGATGAGAAGATGAGAGTGAATTATTGTGTGAGATTTATGGTGGAATTAAGGGGTATTTATAGGGAATTTTTGGGTGAAAATTCAGTTTTTTTCCATTGGGCCCTTCACGGGCCCAACATGCGGCACATGACGGGCCTCCCGTTTGGCCCATCACGTGCCAAACGGGAGGCACGTGACGGGCCAAACGGGAGGCCTGTCACGTGCGGAACGTTGGACCCGCAAATGGCCCATTGGACCAAATTAAATGGGCTTTTCGTGGGCCGTTTTCACGGGCTTGGGCCGGGCCGAATAAGGGCTTGGGCCGGGCTGAATAAGGGCCGTGCCGCGGGCCTCCACGTGCTTGGGCCGTGGGCTGGGAAGTTGAAGCCCAGCCCAAGTCCATTACACGTGCCGTGCCGGCCCGGCCCGTAACAGTAACGAACCGGGCCGTGCTGAATCATGCACTATTACGGGCTGGGCTGGGCCGTCCATGTACGGCCCGGCCCATTTGACACCTCTATCCCTAACTCATCCTTAAAACCTGATGGGACTAGGATCATGCCAAAATTTCATAAGGAAAATTTTAAAAATAAAATAAAAAGAGTACTTTGTCGACCTGAAAATATTTGCAGGCCCGACCTAGACACTTAATCGTGTCAAGATAGAGCGAAGAGGACAGAGATTAAGCCGGAACCGGGCACAACTTGAAGCTCTAACAGTGAAACAATTTACTCATTAATTTTTAAAACGTAACATTTATTCGCTCTGATTCATATTTTGTTAATAAAATCATCCTCCTCTTAGTTTGAATGACAAAAGTTCAGTGTAGATTTAGACATTACAAAATGATTGTATTTCTTTTCAATTGATATGAGAATACAACACACACATTAAATGTAATGTACTGTAAAATCTCTATAAATGAATGTTCGATAAATTAATAATATTGATTAAATAATGAAATATTCTGATCTGACTTGGACCAATGTAGTAAATTAATAATCTCCTTAAGGTAAATTAATAATCTCGTTAAATGCATAAGATAATAATTATTTTTCAAATTTTTTAGGGCCCAATAAAAATATAAATTAATAATTAATCAAATACAAAAAAATATTAAATAACATATAAAAATCATCATATTAAGGAGGCTTTTCTCTTCTAGGTATTAAATTTGAAAAATACGTACATCAACATATATGTATTTATTAACATATAGGTATTATGTCTATATATGTATTTATTGACATTCTATGTTATTAATTTTGGGCTTCTATGTACCTATGTATATGACATTAATTATATACATGATAACTTTTAAAATTCTATAGGTACACATATTAATGTGGACTACATTCATTTTTTATTTATTTATTTATAACATACATGCATTTTGGTCAAAAGAATAATACATATACAAGTTATTAAAATAAAAAAAACTCTTCTTAAATTAATAAAATATTCATTTATCGCTAAATTGATTTTTTTTCCACTTGGAGTTAATCTAATAGCGACAATTCCTGCTTGGATCCTACTTAGGAGGGCCTTTCCGAGAAGATGGCCTTTATGAAAATATTCAATTCAGCGACGATAGATCCTAGGGCAATCAAGTTGATCACCACTTTCTTTGTCTTCTTTTATCTCTAATATTTATCCGACATATCTAAATCTTATTATTATTAGTATTATTGTTGTTGTTGTTGTTGTTATTATTATTATTATTGCAATTGTTGTTCTGGGGTAAAAACCAATTCTTGAGATTTCATAACTAGTTCCACTCAAGTTTATCATTTTACACTTATTCATTTTGATGGAGCTTTTAAAGAAGACACACTACATTATTGAGATCCAAAAACAAGTTGCTTGAAGCTTTTCTAGCTTTGTGTTGGGGCATCAAACTATGATAGGCCGATACCTCACCAATGGCTAGTTCTTACTTGTTGTGGTAAAAGTTCTTAGCATTCATAGAATTATTCTTATCACGTTCTTGATTATGTGTTCATTTAATTTAGATTAAGTGGTCAAAGACTCTCATTTGTGTTGGAAGAAATTTTACGCCTTAATCTTTTCAATAATTATATCATTCATAAATTGCACGATTTGTCACCTTTTATTTAATTACAACTTGCTTACTTATTTATAATACTTGCTAACACAATACAATTTATGATGACTACCAAGCTAAAACTAAATTAATTATTGAAATTTTAGCCTACATTCAAGAAAGTTCTAACCTAAGAGATAATGCATTATGCAAGAACAAGAGTTTCCTTTTTGTCCCTTGCATGATTCAAACTTTTCCAACTGTTTTTTGAGGGACAACTTTAAGAGCACGGCAAGATCCTTCAACCCACATGGGCGCTCATTGACTACAACAGCTAGGATTCCGTATATAAATTTGAGAGATTTTGCCTGTGGAAGATTTGAATAGGAAGAGAACAAAATAAAGGAAGACTAAGACCTTTCTATTGCAGAGAATTTTGAGTACTAAAGCCCCGTTCATTTCGCCGATTCGAGTTTAGAATTCGAGTTTTGCTACAGTAAAAAGCTCTCAGAAACAGTCACATCTAACTTTTTTACTACAGTAAAAAACTCTCACACAAAATCACATCTCAACTCGAATTACAAACTCGAATCAGCGAAATGAACGGGACCAGATCCTGTTTCAAGAGCATGGGGTGTTTGAATATAATGGAATAAAGATTTTCTAGCTTTTCTAACATGGGTCCCTTGTTAGTTTGCTACTTTTCTTTCTTGTCTTTGAAGTTCTCATTAGCTTGTCCTGTAAAGATCTTTCTTTCTTTTTTTTTTTTTTAAAAAAAAAAAAAAATCATTTTTTCCCTTATGATTATCTTTTTTCAAACATATGGGCATGGATATGTAAGGTTGTTTGAACTTTGAAGCCAATGATGGTTTTTTGTACCCTTTTGAGGGATGTTTAAGTATTTGGGTGGGGCATGCATACTGGCAATTCTTTGAAAAAGAAGAACAAAAGAAAATATATTTATATTCTTTTTAGTCAGTTTGGGTTTTGAATTTTTGTCACAAGAACCATCCATTCTGGTAAAGATAGTGAAGAAAAGAAAGAATACCTAATAAAGGCTTGTATCTTTCTGAAATTTTTCTTCTTTAATTGTCCCTTTTCAAATTTTGGTGGCTCACCAATTCTTGAGGGCAATTAAGTGGGGTCGGAGAAATTGAATGAAAAGTCATTTTGCATAGCGCTTTTGTTTTGTTGACTGACTCAACCTAAATTGGCATTTTAGATCATTTGGTCAATTCCAAAATTCCAAACCCAAACCATGGTTTATCAATTGGGCTAGTTTAAGACAATCTATTAGGGTGGCAATCAATTTGAGTATGCAAATAATGCACAGTATATGGTTCCTCACTTTGCTTTTTCTCCAAGCCTTGAATAAGATAAGAAAAATAAACAAAACCTCATTATATTTGCAAAAAAAATGTTCAAGAAAAAATCACATACACCACAAAAGGGTTTGGAGGAATATATCAACACCACCCTCTCTTTTCTTTTATTTTCTTTGGTCTTATGTTGACTAGAAGCGATGAATTTAAGGAAGAAAAAAGATCCACATCATGAAAAATAGTTTCATAACATATCATGAAATTAAAATAATAAGTTGTCAATGGCAAAAATTCTAGGACGAAACCGTCATTTCAGTTCAGAAGCTTGATATGGGTGCATTTGGGATAAAACTTTGCATCATGTGTATCTTTGCTCTATCATGATCATCATACTTGCTCATCTGAGAACAAAACTTGTTTTCTGAAGGACTAATTAATTGAAAGTATTGGTCTAGTTTTTTAACAACTTGATCTGGTAATGTGGCTTGACATGGTGCTCAAGTTCATCAAATAGAGATTGACATAACCAAATCAACTAGATTGCTAATGACAGAATATCTCTCTCAAACCTCCAATTTGGAATGTATTCAATCCATAGGACCAATATAAAATATTTACAAGGCCAGAACACAAGTGGTTCCTAATCTTTTTCTCAGTTTTTACATGACCTGCCCTTGTTCTTTGCTTTCTCCTCCTTGTTCGAACATTTGCCGAGGAGAGAAGAACCGAATGTTTAGTGCATTGTCACCACTGACATAGACTACTCGGAAAATGTCGTACTTAAGATCTAGGGGAAAGCGTTCAAGATAAGGTAGTATTGAACTTCTTTGGTTTGAGCCAAGAACCCATGAGTAACAAGACTGGAGGGACTTCCACACGAGAAAACACGCAACGGTTGGCTTGCTTTGGCATTTCAGGCAAACCCCAGATGTCACACCATCCACTTTTAGGAAACTGGACTTGAACAAAGCTAAGCAGGCATAAGAGAGATCATTCATGTCATTGCCAACAGTGAGAGATGCTATCCTTATCGAGACTGTGTCACCGGCGCAGAACTTTGCAGCCAACCCGCCGTCTCTTGAATCTCCAGCATATGAACCAAAGAAGGTATGTTCAACTAGGATAGCCATGCTTGATATGTTGGCCAACATTGAGAGCTGCGAAAAGATCAAGGGCTTATGAGAATTTGGAGTTATAAAATCCCACTTGAGTAATAAAAGATAGGATAAAACTAACTCTATTCCCCTTGCTATAACAGAACATAATAAGCATTGATTTTCCCCCTCCATTTTCATCTCTTTCTTCATATTACTACAAACAGGTATAATCCCAAAAATCTATGTTACTTCTTCTTTGTAAGACTTGACTTTTTTTTGTGCTAAAACATCAATTATCCAAGTTAAATAAATAGAAAATCTCTTTAAATCAGTTCACATAACCCTATAGAGTTTTTGAAGGTTAATTTAGGAATCTTAGAACCACTTCTTGAAGATTGCTATATTATTAAGACATCTATAATTTTTTTTTTTGAGCTTACACAACTGCTTTCATTTTATGTGCTTTTCTACCATCCTAGTGTGTGATTATAAAATTCTCTGTTCTGGTATCTATGAAAATCACTATTTATAACCTCATTCATTTTGCTCGTTCGAGTTAAAAGAATTTATGAGAGAGAAAACACTATAACAGAAAAAGTTAATTTGAATTTTTATGAGAGAAAATACTGTAGTAAAAATTTGAGTTATGATTCGAATTAACAAAATGTAAAAGGCCTATCTCTCTCTCCTTTAAATGTTCTTTCCTTTTATTGAAAGAAGGGGATAGTATTATCCCGTCCTTGTTCTTTTCGACTTTCATCACTTAAAGAACCGGGACCCGCCAATAGAATTCTCCTTAAAATTTGTTATATCTAACATAATGCACATCTATTTGAAGGAACCAAAGAAGAGAATTTCTAAAATGAATGGACAAAGAAAGGGTAGAAAATCAAAAGCAAATAATAGGACTTACAAGGGTCACGGTCAGTGCATCTTTGTTCTCACAAGATTTTTTAAGCCATGCGCCGTACCATAAGATCTGAAGGAGTGACAAATAATTTGAAGAGATAGATGATTTCTTTTTCTTTTAAAAAAAAATTAAAGCATGTGACATGGTGAATTGTCATAGCACATTAAAACTGGTCCAATCAGAAAACAAGGATTTCAAAGCAATACCATGGCTATTAAATAACGGCCCGTTTAGTGCGCAAGATAAGATAGTATAGTTTCAGGATAATAGATTGGAATGTATAGGGAAGTATAAGATTAGATTTTAGTTTAAGCCAATTTCATGTTTGGTGTTGTGTTATAAGGACAAGGGCATTTTTGTAAAAAAATTTAAAATTGGGGGTCAAATTGTAATTTCAAAACTTGAGGGGTTATAATATAATTTTTAAAAATATTTTACTCATATAAAATTTCAATTTGACCCCCTCATCTTTTATAGAATTACAATTGAACCCCAAAGTTTATAAACATTTACAAATAAATCCCAAGTGTTTTTCACAATGTGCTTTAGTCAAGAGTTGCTTCAGTAGGTGATAGCAACATCCCCTTCTAAGGGGGTTTGATAATGGACTGGATAAATCCAATCTAATTCTTTAATAATGTACACTAAACACAGTTTTAAAATTTAATTATATCCAATTCTTTTTAATCTTGCGCACCAAACAGGCCCAACATGTATTTGGTGGGTTTTAGTTGAACCAATCATTCAAAAAGATGGTCTTGGTATTTGGCTGATTGATTCAAAGGAAAATCAAATTCTAACCAAACAAGGGTGCATAAAACTTTTTAAACTCGAGCATTTCAACAGGAAGTTCATGTATGTATTAATATATTTTCATCTCTGTTTGTTCCATATAAAAAACTAACATAAGAAAAGACCTAAGAGAAGAATAATAGTTATCAGTTGCAAAAGGGATTTTAGTTTATTAGGGAGACAAAAAAAAAAAAAAAGACTAGAATGAAACTTGGATATGGTATTCTTCAATATCTATGTTGAGACTTTTAAATAGATAGATTCAAAAGAGAAAAAACATTTACGCGGATATACATATATTGTGTGTGTGTAGAAAACATGTAAGGCAAAATGATACAATGGAACCAAAAGGAATTGAGATATGTTACCATATTTCCATGGATGCTCTGAATCAAAGAACTTTGAACACAACCAAGAGTCTCAGTGCACAAAGAGAAGTGTTTTAGAGCATCAATAAGATCTCCAACAAGAACAACTGTTGGCCTGAAGGCGAAGAAGCTTATATCCAAATTCCTATTGTTGAAAGGAATAAAACATGCCATCACTCTTTTTCTTGTTTTCTTTTTGTTTTTCTTTTGGCTCGTCCTTTCAAGTTTCTTCTGCCTACTAACGAATTCATGAGAGCATTAAAAGCCTCATTTGAAAACTAGAAACTTCTATGAGTAGTCTTCTTCTTTTTTTTTTTTCTTTTTTTTTTTTGGTTGCGTGGTGGTTGAGAATTGAGATGTTTGAAGTTGAATAGTGAGTTGCTTTGACTTCTTTGAATCTTTGGCTCCTTCTGCTTTTTGCCTATTATTATATATCACACCAAGACTAATTTTGTACGAGAGAGAGAGGCTTAGGAAAGCGAATGCAGTGTGGTTTGACCGTTTCTAGAAGTTTGATTTTTGAATTTTTGTCTTTTGGGGAAAAATAGTAGAATGGAAAGTTTGGATTGCCTATTAATTGGTTTTTGAACAAATTGCGTGTAGATTGCGTGTAGTACAAGTGTGAACTGTGTAATACATCATAGGCAAACTTATCAAAAAAGAGAAGGAAAGAAAAAAAAAAAACAAAACAAAATAAAACCATGGGCAGAGGCAGGAGCCAACGTTTTGCATTTATGATTGTTTTAGATTCCGTTCTTTTCGCTGATTCAAGTTTAGAATTCGAGTTTTGTTACAGTAAAAAACTTTTAAAAATAGTCACATTTAATTTTTTTACTACAACATCTCAATTCGAATTAGCAAACTGAACGGGCCTTAATTTTGCTTCTTTTTTCCCTCACTCGAAGTTTTTGACATTTTTATTTTTTTCATTAACTCAAGTTACAATTCAAGTTTTATTACTATAATATTTTTTTTATAAAAATTTAAATTCAAATTTTTATTACTAATTTGAGTTGTAAAACAAACATAATCTTTATTTTTATTGTTTTTTTATTTTTTATTTATTTTTGGCTAAAACAATTAGTAGACTTGGATACATATACATGCAACAATCGCATTGTAGCTGCATGATATATATATATATATATATATATATTACATATATACATATAAATAATGGTTATATACCCCATCCACACACACAAAAAAAAAAAAAAAAATTATATGCCAGCTATTAGGTCAAATAACCTGAAGTATAGTTTAGAAGGGCTGGAGTAAATTCCATTCCGCATCGTATAAAATATAATAATGGATATAATTCAATCTGTTGAATTTTCTGTGAAGAATATCTAGAAAATATGTGACGTATTACACTTAACAATAATGAATGGATGATGAGTATTATGGCTTCATAAGTCGCATTATAGTACATGATTCTAAACATTAGATTTAATCAAAATCATATTAAACCGAAAAAGTACAAAATTAATAGAATCTAATATTAGATATGAGGGTTTAAAGTATAGCCTGCAAGTAGGGTATTTCCCCAGAATTCTCCTTAAATTTATGAGATCATACCCACCCGCCAGGAAAAAAAAAAAAAAAAAAAAAAAAAAAAAAAAAAAAAAAAAAAAGCTAAAACTAAAACAGTAAAATGAACGCTCCTTAATCCTTATGAAAAACGAAACAGATATTTCTCATTTGTGTAACAAGCAAGAAGAGGAAGAATTTCATCAAAAAAAAAAAAAAAAAGCAAGAAGAAGAAACACCAAAATGGCAAACCAGATATATCACACATTGTTAAGTACACTGCCTTTACATATAAAGCATGAGTATTGCAGAATACAAAATGTAACATTTCACTGGAATACATAAATTCTTGAAAATACCGTCATTACTTTAGATAGGCGTGACGCGATAAGCCTCGAATTCTCAGACAAACATGCAAATTAAATACCTATATTTATGCTGACTCTGTCTAGAAACAGTTGATAACTACCGCTGCCGCCGAGATAACTAACTTAATTACAGGCTTGAAACTTTGAAGTTGCAAGCTATTACAATAACACAACTCCATATCCAGGGATAAGGTGTTTTTGCCTCCTATGCACCATCATCTTCAAGGTTGTTAACCCGTTCACACTCATCAATCCATTCGCTGTATCTGCGGAAAACACAAAATCTTTAAATATAAGAGTGGATGAGCGTGTCAGAGAGAGAGAGAGAGAGACGGAAACATAAAGGCTTGAACTTACATGTCTATTGGCTCGGTTAAAGCTGAAAATACAAGAGGAAAAAGTACCAAGTCAGAATAATATTTTCAGTTCAATCATATCCAACTTCAAAAGAAAATGTAACATCAGTTTAAAACAAAAATTCCGGTGTCAACCAGAGCTATTAGGACATGCAAGTGTTTATGAGGCAGGAGCCTCTGGGTCTGAGGCCTTGTCTAGTCCGGCGAAGTTCGGCCAAACAAGCCGCACCGTTATCAGATCCAGGGGTGCTGCGAGCCAGGATTTGGAAAAAGGTTGAGATCGAGTAAATCTCATCCCACAGACGTGTTGGAGATTGAGAAACAGTTAAAAAGAGCGAGTGGGTGAAAGTGATTCTGTTTATGTTAGAAAGAAACAAAAAGAGAGGGTGGTAAAAGAAAGTGCCGCTATCTTGTTTGGCTTTTCCAAGGCTGCAAAGCTAGTGCTCCACAGCCATGGCAAAAAGCAGAAGCACTGCAACCAAGTACTCGTTCAGAGGTCGAGATAAATAAGTGTCATTTAATGGATGAGTTGGAGAATGAAAAAATCTTGAACTTGTCCTGATGCAGGACAGTTATTTTATTTCTGTTTGGAAGAAACCAATAGACTTTGGTACAGAAGTGTGTTTGAAATTTTCATCAAGGAAAAGGAGCATCTTATAAAGAAATTTTAAAATTCAATTGGAACATACTATTTTCCAACACCAAAAAGGAACAGTAAAAATTCTCCTGTACTAGATAGACATACTAAACCTGCCAAGAGACTAGCATTATGACAAACCTGTGATAGTAGTACTAAAGCTCTCTTGGCAAATCCTGCAAGAAGCTTCCCCAATCAAATTTTTCATATCACTGCAATCAGATTAATGTCAAGGGTGAGCTAAAAAGCATACAAGCTATAAGCATAAGCATGGAGAATATAGGTTTACATTCTAAACCATCACAAATATACAACATACACAACATATTTACCACAAGATAAGAAAAACTGTGAACACACATGGGTCAAGGGTGAGCTAAAAAGATACAAACTATAAGCGTAAGCATGGAGAATATATGTTTACATTCTACCCCGCCACAAATATACAACATACACGGCATATTCATCTCAAGATAAGAAATATTGTGAATTTGCGTTTGTGTGAAAAAAAAAAAACAGAGAGGGAGGGAGAGAGGGAAAGGGGCGTGATATAACCACAGCCACAACTATTAAAAGCTTATTCATCGAAAAATATCTACTTAAAGTGTCTCAATTGTTCTTCGGTTGGTTGGCCGTAATTCAAGGTCCTAATTTTAATGGAAAAAAATATGCCATAGAGATCATTTCTTACATGCGACATTCAACACTGGTGCCATGGTTGCAGAAGGGACAGCTGAAGACGGTGTCAAGCTTGTCCATCCGCTTCTTAGGAGGCGGCTTTGCTCTAGACTTCCTCTTACCCATTTGCTCAAATCCTTTCTACAATATCAGAACTTCACGACAGAAACAAAGTACGATTAATTTGTAAAATTTTTGGACCCCCAAGTTCAAAAATTCATCCAGTCAAAAGAATGAAATTACACTATTCTGTTAAAAATAAAACAATGCATATTTGCGCGTGCTAATTGCCTAAAAACAAATCATTTAGACTAGAACATGGTAAAAGCCCTAAAATTAAAATCATGCGATGTTGATTCTCACCAATCTCACCCCAAAAAGTTACTCACTTCACAACCCTAATTTCAAACTTGCCCATTCACAAATGAAATCGCAAAATGGAAAAGTTCAATTAAAAAATTCCGCAGCTTTACATTACATATCACGTTTTCTGGGTAGCAATTAAAAGCAGGAAATTGAGGATTTCATTTTTGATTCCATAACTGTTTACCAAGTTGTATAGCACAAAATTAAGTTGATATAATACAACTTGATCAATCTTCAACATCCATTTTTCCTTTTAAAGCAGAAACAAAGAAATGAAGGATTTCCCATTTTCTCTTGGTTTCTTACGATCAAACGAAGAAAAAACAAATCAACTAAACCCTAATACAGGTTAATTTAGAACTTAAATGAGAAGGGGTAATTGTGAAATCGGTCAAAAAGAAAAAAAATGGTTCAGAGCAGAACTAGGAATTAAAATTTTCAGAAAGAAACAAAAAAAAAAAGGGACAGAGAAGCATAAAACTGACCTTGATCAGAATCCTTGATGGTGGCCGCAGTTCGAAGGAGAGGAGAGAGAGAGAGGCGGAGAGGAGAGGAAAAGAGTTTGCTTTGGGGCTTCCCAAAATTATCTTTGTTATACTTTTCGTGCTGTACGGCCGCGTGTCTATTGAATTATTTTAAAATAAAATAAAAAATAATCTACGTCAACGATCAAGTTTTTATTTGTCAATTTATATAAAATAATATAAAAATTAAAAAATATACAAAATTAACGGTTAAAAAAACCTAACATACCGGTACACCAGACATACTAAAAAATCTCCAATAAAAAATTAGAATATTGGTGTCATCTTGCTCTCATTCCTTTCATCACTTTGTAAATTTGAGGACCCACCAAAGATAAAAATGTTGATGCCAATGAGGTTGTCGAAATTTTAATTTACGGATAATGTCTCGGACGTTGATGCCGACGTATATTTCAAGAAAAAAAAGATATCTTGAAAAAAACCTTAAAATTTTTTGTTTGAAAATGTACAAAATACTAAAACAAACAATATTACTTTATTTAAATTAATTTAATAACATAAATAATACATTAGAATATTAGAGTTGTGCTACATAGCATAATAGGAAATTATCATAAATATATATGGATTATGATTCTAATATAATTTTACATACTCATTATAAACAATGTATGATAGTATACATAATAAAGTACGTACAATCTTGAAGTCTTTTTAATATCAAAATGAGTTTCTAGCTAGTTGAAAAGCATTATGTAGGTTTTAATTTTGGTGTAAACAATACATTTATCAAAATATTACTATTGAATAGATTTGAATGTAGTTTTTAATGTGTCACATATATGTTTTTTTATTCCTTCCCACATATTACTATTGAATAGATTTGAATGTAGTTTTTAATGTGTCACATATATGTTTTTTTATTCCTTTCCACAGTTAACTCATAAATTGGATATCATTGGTTTATTCAACTTGATGAGTAGTCTCCGTTGATGTGTAATACATCAAAGAAACCATCTTGGTATTACACATCTAAATTAGACTCCATTTGAAAACTATGTAGATGATTATAATCATATAAACTTTACTTAGTTTCTACTTTCTAAGAAATCAAAATTCAAGGCCATAAAATTCTCATCAGTTTGAATCATATAAGGCACACCATATCTTCTTATATGTTAATTTTTATCATTCAATTATCTTGTTTTATTCAAAATTAATAAAAAAAAGTGCTCAAAATTAAATTTTTTTTTTTGCAAAAATTAAAAATTTTCTAACGTTTTTAGACATTTAATGTATATATCCAAAAATATCTTGGAGATTCACAGATATTCAACGATTTGCGGATATTTTTGGATATTGTGGACATTTTACACATACTCCAAGAATAATATCTTTTCCCTTATTATACATGTCGAGACTGTTGGTTTTGAAAATGATTTTCTATACGGAAGCGTGCTAGCAGACCGTGCATGACAAAAATTTTAATAAACTTTTGATATACTTTATAAAATACATTAATTTATGCATGAATAAATTAATCAAATTAATTTATGAATAAATTTACTTAGCGAATGATTAGGTCAATAACTTGAGTTCTTTGACCACGAACATTCATCGCTCTAAGCTTGTTTGGAATACCCAAATCTTTCTTGCCAATTAATTGAATCCACGAAGATGTTTGTGTGGGCACACTTGAAACAAAACGGGATTAGCAATCAAAACACTCAAGTATTTCACAAACACCAACACATGCACGGCGTGGAATTGAGGAGTAATTTTCTTTTCCTCACTCTATAGAAAACCGGCCACTTAAGCTAGGGAGAGCAAAAATTGTCTTTTCCAATGTTCTATAATTCCATATTTATAGTGTAGATGTCAGACTCCTAGAGAAAATTTAATCTTTATATCCTAGATAAAGTTTGATAATTATCTCCCACTTCTAATTAATTTTTGAAACAAAATCCTCTCTCTCTCTCTCTTATCCACTATAGCCGGCCACCACATGGATATTATTTCTTGTGGTTGGTGCAATTTACTGATAGGGGAAGGAGAAAAAATTCTTCTTTATCCTGTAGTCCAATTTTAACTCTAATTTAAATTCTAATTAATGTCAAACTTAATTTAATTTGAATTTCAATTAGATAACTCATCAAATAAGTCAATTAGATAACTTAGAGAGCAAGCAATTAAATCCCAATGACATTTACACTGAGATAGGCGCTTACCACATGTGATCAACATCACTTGTGTGTTTCAAAATTCAAATTAAATAATCATATTATTTAATATTTAATTAATTATCAATTAATTCATTTTGAGTGTTTTATTTAGAATCCATTTTGCCATTAGTGTCTTGTAGAATTATAGGGACGACACGAGAACTCATAAACTTATAATTCTGAGCTCCAATAAAATTAATAATTAATTAAAAATCTTTAATTATTAATCAATTCTATTAATTCTAAAGTTACTCCACTATAAAATTGGAATTGCACTATCGCAATTATAGGCATAATTTACTTCCAAACTGTGAAGTGTCAATTTGATATAGTCATTATGTTGGTTTACAAGTAGCATTGTGATTATAGGAGCTTGATTTATATATGTCCATCGGGACTCTTTGCTAGCTCACATAATTTCCTGTAACGATACGGTGTATTTCCTACACATTAGTAACTTGTGTTATTTCCGTAACGAGAGGTTCAAAGTTAATTCATGGGTGAATTAATTGATAAATTAATTCTAAATAAATTGGTTGAATTATTGTTTTAAGAGTTATTTAATATGGGAAGACTATTATATGACTGTTTTGATCAGGCAATTTCTCTATTGGGTTGCTTGAATCAAAACTGAGGCTCTATGCAAGTTTCCCGTATTGAAAAACTAGGAAAAACAACTTTCGTCAGTGCAAACAGGTCAACCGGTTGGGTAGACCGGTCACAGGTCGACCGGTCCGGTCGACCGGTTAGTGAAGACAGGTCGACCGGTAAGTTATAACGTCTCTGTCACCGGTCGACCGGTTGTAACATAAAATGCATGCTGACGTGGGAAAATCGACGCTGGATGCGATTAGAACGTTGAGAAACCTAATTGTTACGGAAGTATGACTTCCAAAATACTATAAATAGCCTATTAAGTCACATTACTCATTAGATCACTTGAGAGACTTTTTGGAGACTATTGATAAAAGATTCCTGAGAGGAAAAATTGTTTAATTCTCAAGAACAATTTTTTCTTTGGCTTTCTTGTGATTGGAAGGAGATCAAGAATACCTAGAGGAGATTAAACGACGTGTGCCCACCCGCACAC